CAGTGTGGAAATTTCAGGAGTCACATGACTAGAGACTCATCTGGACAGAGCAACCTGTACCCATACTGTCAGACAGTATCTTAAATTATAGTCTACAGTCATTTTAGACAGGTTACAATTCTATTTAATTTACCATTAACTGCAAACTGTTTCTCATTGTTTTAACTGTTAAGAATGATAGTTTTGTGTTTTGATTGAACTGATTGTGTCAAGGATGTGAAAGAACTCAAGTCTATATACAGTCATACTGCCCCCTTGTATAACCAGACACAGAGAGGAGCTCCAGTGTCTGGTGGAGAAGTGTGGGAACAGGTATCATGTTCTCAACAACAAGAACAGGAGCGACTGCACTCAGGTCACAGAGCTGCTAGAGAAGATAGAGGACATGGTGGCAGGAAAGAGTGATCATTACTATGAGCTTGATAAGAAGGTTTTAGAGGTGATGGCACAGAGGAGGTGGGCAGATATCTGATGGAATAGTGAGTTTGTATTGGGATCTATGAGATCACTGACCCTCTCTCTGTACAACACACTGACACACTGCTCTCTCTCCTACATCACCGACCCTCTGGTCTTTATGCAGGAGGCTGACTCTCCTTTTGTTTGTTTGGCAGAAGATCTACGTCCTCCCCAGGTGCACCAAGTATCTTCTCCTGCCGTAAGTTTTACTGGTGTGTCTATTCATTTTGAAAATATATTCATACCTTCATAACTGGGCACAAAATATAAAGCTCCAAAAAGACGTTTGACCAACTTATGTGCCATTAAAGTTAAAGGTTTCCTTCCATTCCATTCACACCTTCTCTTCATATCCAGAGCCTACCCTGCATCAGAAAAGAGTGGAAGACAAAGGAGCCGAAGACACTGGGATGGAAGAGCAGGGAGAGAGGCAGTGAGTGAGAATGATGGTGTTAAACAGAGCATGAATACTCACCTTCTCCACTACAGCACAGCAAATCAGATACTTAAGTCTTCTATTTCACTGTCCAATTTCAAGTTCCATTTAGCAGTGTTGCTCTTGTTTTGCAGAAGAGCTGCTCTCCAACACTGCAGAAAAGACACTGAGATTGAGAAAGATTAAGAGACAGAGGTTGGAGGAGAGACAGAGAAAGACAAAGGAGCTGAGACAGAAGTATGAAAGAAGGGAGAGAGCGAGAGAAGAGGAGCTGAAGGTGAAGATGAGAAAGACACTGAAGGAAGAGGAGCTGGAGAAAGAGACAGAGGAGCCCAGACTGCCTGTCAAGAGGAGCAGTAAAGACTTTGAAATTCCCTCCAGTAAGTGTTGATCAATACTACTGAGATTCAATTCAAGCACCATTGAATGCCTGAAGTAAAACTCAAGTAAATCATCAGATTAAATATAAATGTCGAATATTAATTTAAAGTAATAAGTGAAGCACTGCCTGTACCATAGTACTGTGTGAATGAGACACAGACGAACACAGGAGATTGAGACAGAGACAGAGGAGCGGTGAATGACACATCATCAGTGGTACAATTAACTTCTTTAAAATGAAAGAAGGCTTTTCGAAGTAAAGGTATTCTGTGATTGTTATTATTTTGGCAGAGGGAGAAGAACAATGAATGGAGCTGTTCTCAGTTTCAAATCTTCTGTGTAGTGGAAGATTGTCAAACAGCCTTTTGTTTGTGGGCTGTATTAAGGTACAGTAGGAAGGAAAAAAACGAACACAACAGGTGGAGTCTGAAATATCAGTCTTTGTCAGGACAAATGCCTGCTTAATAGTCAAAACCATAATTCTGAGTCGGGGCCAAATTAAAACTCCACAGTCCTGTTTCCTTCTAGACTGGAGGGGAGGGGTAACACAAGTGTTTTAAAAGTAACTATTCCGTGTTACACTTAAGGAAAATGTGAAGACTCAGCTCTCTCTCCTACATTACTAGCCCTCTCAGTAAAGTCAGTAAGGAATAAGTGTCAGTTTTTTATCGCTGCAAACCACAAGACCATCAAGGTCCTGTAGGAATATCAGTGTGAGTCATGAGTTCACAACAGGAAGAGAGTTCTCTCGGATACACTGCCTGTCCCTTCTGATCCAGGATGATCCACACTTTCTCTAGCAGTGTGATAAGACTTCGATAAGAAGTAAATATTCTAAAATACAGGAAACAGAGGGATCCTGAACACGCAGAGGAACCCAGATGTCCGCATGGCGAGAGAGTCACAGAGAACTCAGTGAGCAGCATCACACCAGATCCATAACGAGCCCATAATCATGATGATGGTGTCAAAACAGCAGCCAGGTCCTCTCAGAAGATCAGACAGCTGTATTCAACACTACTGTATGTACCACCTGAGATACTGAGACAGACTCACGCCTGTCACTCTGTGGTGCTCAGCTCTTTCTTTCAACAGGTCCAGCAGCTGAGGAATATTCACCTGGGGCACCCAAAACTGGGGGCTCACTGTCTGGGGGAGATGAGCCTGATGAAGTTAGCAGAACCAAAGTAAGTGTTTATACCCCTCCAGGAAAGGTCTTTACCTCCACACCTGTGAGATCTCCTCTCCCCCACTGGAGACACACCTGAGTCTTTAACACTTGTGGAATCTTGTCTCGTTCTTAGGTTCTTGGTGACGTGACTGAATTTACACCTGAAATAAAAATCCAGAACAAGAAAGAAACTTACAGGTATCTGGTTCATCAAGCTCATTTTCAGCTTGTCTCCAGTGTCAGTGCTGTGTCTGTGTCACAGTCCTCTCTTTCTCTGTATAGAAAGTGTGCTGTCCTGTGGTGTCCTCTGTCTCTGTGCAGTGTGTTGACAGTGTGCTGTCCTGTTCTGTGCAGGTATCTCTGCCCGTCCGCGGGTCAGTTCTGGTGCCGTGTCACTGGGCTGGTGTTTGTGATGGCGTCGGGGGGCGAACTGGAGTATCAGACCACACACTGGGACATGGCGCTCCTGTCCCCCACTGGCCAGCTTCCTGCAGGACCCCTGTTTGACATACACTGCCCCCAGGGGGCGCTGACGGAACTGCAGCTACCTCACTGCGAGATCGATGGCCGTGAGTCTCAGGCGATGTTAACAGTTTCTGTATTGACAGTGAGTACAGCTTCAGCTCAGCTACAGCAGGAGACTCTACCCTCTACCACGGAGTCTGGTGACAGTTTGCTTTCTTGGGCAATAGTGGAAGGATAATTCACAATCCCTCTCTCCAGCCTCTGGAATCTGTTCCAATCCATTACTGAACCTCAATCCCAGGACTTCGTTGCTGACCCTTAATTAATCTCAGTTAACAGCTTCATTACTTTAATTCAGTTATTCATGGCCACCGAAGGCCATGTCACTAAATTAGCTTCATCACTGACCCTGAGTTATTCAATGACCAGTGATCTTCTCACTGCTGAGAATGCACGAAGGTAATCGGTTCTGTTGTAGAACCCAGTGTTTCAGTTCTGATCCCGAATTACTGATCCTGATCGCCCGTGATCCATTCCAGCAGGACCGCAATGTTGCCGTGATAGATGATTTAATCGCACTGTAGCCCAGGCGAGCACTGAGCTGCTGCTCTGAAGCGTTGATCTCGCATTCGCCGCTTCACAAACCCATAATGATGAACTGGTCTCCTGAGGCTGTGAGTCTGGGATAACTAACCACTCGGAACCAAAAATGATCCAAACCCACTTCTCTGACCCGGGAGTATTATAGCTCAGCGGGCTGAATCCCTTGAACAAGCAGGGAATTTCTGGGGTAGCGTCTGAACCAATCTGGGGTGTCATAGAATCATGGACCAGCAGCACTCAGGATGTGACCTCACTTACAAACGCTAATAGAATCGTAACTCTCAAGTCACACGAAACTGATCAGAGTCCCGGAACAGCGAATGAGAAACAGTCTTGCTCAGCTGCTGTAACCCTTGCGGGCTGTAGCGCGTTCTCCTCGCTCTCTTGTCTTCCTGCAGGCAGGAGTGACTTCCTGACGGTGGCCCATGTGAGCTGTGGTAATCTTGAGGTGGTGTCGCCCCTGGGTGTGACGCAGACCCATGTGAGGGTGTCCATCGCCGGCCTGTCCCTGTGGGGCCTCGTGAAGAGCCTGTGGGACTCCAGCATCCTGGGACAGGTGCTGCTGTTTCTGCAGCCAGGGGATGGCGTGGACCTGCTACCCAAGTTGAACGTGTTTGTGCTCCCTGGGAACATACTTCTCAGCCAGGTACAAGGGACTTCCTGTCTCTCTGTCTGTCTTCCTCCCCAGTACTTCCTGTCTCTATCTGTCTGTCTCTCCTAACACTTCCCGTCTCTCTGCCCGTCTACCTCTCCAGCACTTCCTGTCCCTCTGTCTGTCTCTCCGAACACTTCTTGTCTCTGTCCATCTGTTTCTCCAGCATGACTTCCTGCCGTGTTTGTTCCCCCATTCCCAGCAGTGTCACCTGTCCTCTCCTCTCCTCCACAGGTCACCGAGCAGCAGGACTGCAGCAGCACCCACATTAAGACGAGCTCTTGCTGTAAGCTGACACCGCAGGCGATGTACAGAGTGTCCAGCAGCAGCAAGGAGATTGAGATAATCCAGCCTAAGGTAATGGTTGTCCTGTGACACAGACGGAGATCACCGGCCTTTATGACCCAAACTGTTCAGAGAGCATGAGGGAGGGACTGAAAGATCTAGAGAGAGAATCAGGAAAGACTCGGGTCATGAAAGGATGATCTGAGTATCATCAGTATCATCAAAACAATGAAACAGGTGGACCCAGGCAACAGATACACAGAGAAAGGAAGGGGCCCCAGTACTGACCCCTGAGGAACACCAGGGGGTCCAGCTGACTTCATGCTCAGAAAAGATTTGCCTGTGTGACAGACTGCTAGCTCTTTAACACAGCGTTACCGTTGTTCTTCCAGTCCGAGTGCTTTTACTGCAGTTATGGCCCGAATTTCCACCCCACGTTCGAGGTTTTCCTGGCCCATGGTGCAAGGAGTCTGGTTCTCGAGTTGCTGAAAGGCGCCACAAAGGAAGGAGAAAAGAGGGTGTGGAGGCGCTTTGTGCAGCTGCCAGGTAACAGCAGACGAGACTCGCAGGGACCTGAGGTTCTGCTGCAGAGAGCAGGACTGGGATCAGTGGAATGAAGTGAGCACTGAGAGGTCACTGATGGGATTCCTGATGTCTTTGTACTCCACTTGGTCTCTCCACAGGTAGTAGACTGTGTAATTCTGTGAGAGAGGTCATAGTCTGTGGGTATTGAGCTATACAGAGTGAACGCTGTCTTTACAGGAGACTGTGTGTCTGGTGGGTGTTGTGCTGTTTAGGGTGGCCAGTGTCTTTACAGGTGGGTTAATCCTTGTTTATTGATGCCAGTGGAAACCTGATGTCCCGGCTGATCAGTTAAAAAGAAGTTCAGAAGAAACTCGGAGATCATGACTGTAATTCACGTCTCTCTCTCTCTCTGCAGTC